GAGGCTGCAGCAGGGAAGGTAATTTCCATCAATGGACTAAATGCTAATGCCACCCTACAAACCCTGTTAAGACCCCATCTGGAAAAGCACGCATGTTTCCGTTCAAGGAATATTCTTTCCTGTTATAGGAAAAATGAACTGAAAATCTGCAGTAATGGGGCAAGTGGGTGTAACACAGCCTGTCCTAAAGGCTGCAAGAGCCTCCTTACACAAGTTTACGGAAATAAAGGTAGAGGAAGTATTAACTAGTTGTTGTGAATGCCTTAAGGGGTTAAATACAATGGGAAGGGAAATAACTAGATAGAGAACAATATCAGCACAAGATCAAATGAATATAGTCTAGCCAAGAAGAAATTCAGGCAGCTACTTTGAAGGTTTGTAACCCCTGGAGCAGAGGAGGAGTGGGACAGCCTTCCCGTAGGAAGAGCAGGAGGAAACACCCCATACAGACCCTATTGGGTTGTAAGATAAATCTCAGAAGGGGTTATAAGACACGGTTAGCTGCCCCAGGATGGGACTGAACTTCATATCCCAGGTGATATTTTCCAGTATGTACTCCTACTTTCCTTTCTTCTGTGGCCTTGCAATGAAGTATGCAAGGCTGAAAGTAACCCACCCCACTCCCAAACCTTTTCACCTTTGATTTGCCGTGTGGGACATGACTTGTCATAGAAAAGGCTGGTATGGGAGAATGAAGAAGAAATAACTTCCACTTTCTTTAAACCGCCTACAAAGACTGGATCACCAAGAGAATACTTAATGGGATTCATTGTCTGAATGTTCACGGGCTTGAACGTTGTTACCAGCACGGAAGTAGATTTAAAAAGAAAGAAAAGAAAGAAAAGAAACTGGCAGAACTGGATAAACTGGTGCTCTACGCCTACCGAAATAAAGGAAATCACCTCAAATAAGGCAGTCCTCAAAGCAGTCACTTTCAGAGGAACAAGTTGGTTGTGGCATAGGGCCAGCTACAGGGGAAAAAAACCCCTGTAGGAACAACTGGAATGAAAAAATCTGCATAACGATGACATGGGAAGGACTGGAAATGGATGGGATTGTTTGAACTAGACCGCGTTACCCAGGCTCCTGTCTATAGCAAAGGGCTGGCAGCGCCCTGAAGAAAACAGGTGCTGAACCTGCTTCTACCAACCTATTTTTGGGGGCTGCTGCATGTGATCTGCCACCATGAGGTAACTGTTGACCCAGCCTCTGCTCAAGCATGCAGTTTAGGTGAAGATTTATCATATGCCACCAGTGTGAAAGAAATGAGCCACATACGGGCAGCTGGCTGCCCCTCAGAGCCGAGTCTTTCACTTGCCAGCCACAGCTCTCTCAGACAGCACACAGATACTGGCATATTCGATAAGAACAATTTCCAACTCCAGACTCTCAGCAAAATTACTCCGTGCCTCAGCATCCTTCCCCAGGTTTGATCAATTCAAGATTCAATTCCAGAACTATGGTTTTAAATTTGCTAATTTTTTCCAAGTTAAAAATCAGTAGGAACATCTTTATTCTTCATAAAGGGATTACATACAATCTCACAGGAGCTGACCTTGCACATGTGTCATATAAGACTTTCCTCAAACTTATTCCAGTCCTTGTAAGGACAAACCTGAGCAGGGGAAGAGGCCATCTGCTCCAAGGATCAGGCACAGCTGAAGGTACCACCAATCTCGCTCCAGCAATGAACACTGTACTGCCGTCCCTCTTGCTAGCCCCAATGGTTTTACGACTATTAAATTAATTTGGTGGTAATGGTTTTTTGGGTTTTGGCAACTTGCCAGTTTTCTAAATAAAGACTCAGATTTTCAGAAACCTTCCTTTCTTCTTCAGTAATGCACCCAAATGCCTCAGAATTAAAAATCCAAGCTAGTTATTGCTGTAATTATAAAAAAAATAATGCTGAAGGAGGTGATAATGTAGAGGTTAAGAGTTTTATTTCTAAACTCATTTTGAGCGAAAGGCATAAAATTACCTTTTTAATATTATAAATAACTGAATGGAACAGTCAGGGAAAAACTTAATATTAGCAGGGCACAGTAGGGATCCCACTTGACAGAAAAAAAGGTTATTTTCCTGAAGTATCATACCGTTACTACTGTGAAAAAAACACCAAGAAAATTTTCCTGGACTCCAGCTGAGATGGAAGCCAGCCAGCAGATAGCTTTAATCATTGTGGAGAATTTATACTTACACAGAGAAGCTCAAAATACAGCTTTTTTGTAGAGAAAAAGGCTAATCACTCTCATGTTTTTATAGCTGCTAATAAAACATTGGCTTTCTCTGACCCTTTTCATTCAAAGTGCTTTATGTGTTAAAAAAAAAAAAACAAAAAACAAAACCAAACCAAACCACTACACAATTTAGACATTATTTCCAACAGTTTCTTCCGCAGGGCTCTGTTGGCCATTCTACACCATTCACCATTTTTGTTACCCTTATGCTACAGGTCTTTGAGAAAATGGGGGCTGTGGACCTACGTCTTGCAAAGATTCCAGGCTAAATGATTTAGGAAAGTGAGAACTGCAGTTTTAATTATGTATGGGCTCCAATTAACTTTTTGAGGTGGGAGCCCAAGCGCCTTACAGCTTGACCCATGAATGAGGATTCTGTTTGGGATGAATGGTCTCTGTTTTCATCTCCTCCCACCAGTGTGGAGCTGTAACACATCCCAGCAGAGCCACGTATTTTTTAAGCGAAGCACAGTCTGCGGATTGTAAAAGGTGGTGAGGGTGGCTGCCTGTCTGTCAAAAAGAAGTAAATGGTGAAACAGGGCAAGGGGATACCAGGGAGCTTTAGAAATCAGTTTGAAGCATCCGTTTCGCCATTCTGAAATACAGTAACTCCGTAGAGCTCCCCGCTCCTTCAGAGGCAAACACTGCCTCTTCCACACGGGAACCCACCCACCTTCTGCCAGGTTTTAGAGATGTGTTCAACTACAGCCAACGTTTTCTCTGCCTCTGTGGACAGTATCTTCCAGTGTTCTCAGCGTCAAAGAAAGGCTGCTGAGCATTAAAGTATTTTTTTCACTCCATGCACAGGAGTTTAACAGCAGCGCACTCCAAATGCATTCAAAATATTATGCAGAAAATAAGGCAAGAAACAAGGAAAAAAAATACAGCTTGTTTATTTTGTGGAAAAGGGGGAAGACGACACTGCAATCCTCTTAAATTCAGGTCAATTGAGGATTATCAAATGTCGTTCTGCTGAAGAAGCTCATAACTCATAAGGAGGTACCGGATATGTGGGATAAATGACCAATGCGTGGACATCACTGTACTTAGACAAATAAGGGTGGTAGGCAGAACAATTCATGAGGTTATGAATTAAGCAAAGAGGAGTGAAGAGGGTTTTTTGTCATGCCACTAGATGGCAGGAGGAGATGCTTTTACACCACTTGTGTACATCTGCACCATTTTGAAGGTATCTTTCCTTGTGCGACAGAACACCTGGGGCCTAACTTCACCATTAATATACGGGATAAAAAGAAAAAAAATAATCTATTCAGCGAGTACCAGTGCTAAGTTGATTCAAGCCTTTTGGAAAAAGTGTTCATATATAGATATATAAAAACACCTGTTTACACTGGGTTGTTTCTGTAAAATTGGGAAACCCTATTTGAGACGAAATTAATTCTATTTCCATTTCCCACTCATACGTAGGGCACAAGGTTTACAAGACTTAGAGCTACTGTATTCTGATGGGAAGCAGAGTGCTAATATAATTTTCTGCAAACTGTTCAGAAGAGATGGATGAACAGATTCAGATAATTACAAGGGATAGCAATATCCTGCCTGCAGCAAGACGAGCTATATTTTGAGAAATGAAAATGGTCTGCAGTCATTTTTCACCCTGTCTCTCCAGAAGCAGTAAAAGAGCAAAGTGCAAAAGGCAGAACATTTTTGATCGCTTTTGAACACCATATACTTTGTGTCTCAGCATTAAAAGCATGAACTGACCAGCACCTCACTGTTTCCTATATTATACATTATATTACACGACCAAAAGAAAAGGGAGGGTCTTCTCTTCCAGCTCAAACTTAATCAATGAAAATTTCACCTGTCTGGTTATGATGCTAACCATAACCCTGCCCTTCTCTCTCCCTCAGCCCACAGGGAAGCATCACACCTCTCAGCTTGCACCATCCTTGAAATTAAACGTGCTGCAGCTGCACCACACTGCTTCCCCGCCTTTCACAAATCCCTCCTTCCTTCCCCAGTCTAAGAAAGGCCACACTCTCTAAAGGCTCTCTTGTACAGCTCCCAGCAAGTTACTTTTCTTGGATGTAGAACAGGCTTATCATCTCCTTATTTCCAGCCATTTACTCACACTTTTCAGAAGTAATCACTGGCTTTTTTATCTTCTAAGAGGTAAAACGGGTAAAAATTCAATGCAACTGATACACTTTCCTCCTCTTGCATGCCCAGTTAACTGCCCATCTCTTACACGGCAAACTCTCCTGAGCAGCAGTGACCTCACCTGCTCTCCTAGAGCGTAAACGAGCATCAACTGTTTAAAATTAAATTCTTCTCTGTGTTTGGAGTAATCTGTGGTGTTAGCCAAGATGCACTCAGAAAGTCAGGTAGATGTGTCATGCTTTCAGTACTTTAGGATATGCCAAACCTCACTTGCTGCCAGAGGTGAAGGTGTTGAGTGCGCACACTACATTCCTTTAACAAATATGCTATGCAACCAGCTGGTTCTCTTTGGAGAAATGGACGTTAATTTGGCAAACATCTTTCCCAGTTGACTATCTGAGAGCGTGATGCCTTCAAGAGGACTTGGCTAATTCCCAATGCAAAACAGAAGCTGTGGCTCCAAAATGATTCTATCGGTGTTTCCTTGCCTGGTACGTCATGATTTGTTACAGTCCAGCATTTCAGCGTAAGTTGGGAACAAAGACACTCAGGTGCCTGCATCTGATTTTCATGTAATACTGTTTGTAAAAAAGATATCTTTATGGTCGTAAGCTACTGAGCCTGCACAAACAAACTTACCTTTCACAGCTTCACACAGACTTTGCTTTGCTGATTTTGGAGTTTGATTTGCTTTCTGCTGGTCTTGTCTTTTGCAACTTGCCATCTCCCCCTGGACCAGCTGCAATATTCTTCAAAGGTCTGAAGGACGAACCAGGCGTTTGTAAAAAGTTAAAGGACAGCACTAATACTCTGAATCTGAGCATCTCTCCCCTCCCAAATGTAACAGACATCAAAAAGGACACTAACTACTTACTCAGTGTCTGCTTACCAGCAGGTGCTTAGATGTTTTATATTTCCACACAGACAAATTTCAAAAACTTGAGCCTCTTCCCGATCAGTAATGCTCCTCTGCTGACAGGATGTGAAGCAAGATGCTGGCTTTGCAAGAAAAAAAAGTTCAGGAGTGCCTTCAAGTGAGGCTGGGTCAGAACAGGCGCAGCAGCAGAAGAGACAACTTTTCTCTTGGAATAAAGACATCCTGGGGACTTTGCTGTCCCACTGCTTGGGCTGCAAAACCCACAGCAGAACATCTGCACAAGAACTCCAGGGCTAGCTCACAGAAACAGCTCCTGCAGTCCAGAAGTCTCTCTTCAATTACAGCCAGTGTAAGAACCCACAGAGGTGGCTCACCAACGTGACTGTTCCAGGCACCCCTGCTAAGCATCACTAATGCCTTCCACCTCCCTCTCTTCCCAAAAACCTGCCAGTCAGTATTAAGGGGCACATAGTGATGTTAATGTTACTCAACCAAGTACAGCTGTGCTCAGGAACAGGTTTACCCTGGTGGGGGGTGCTTTCATGTTTTGTTTGTGGGTTTCTGTGTGTTTTTTGTTTGTTTGTTTTGTTACTTTAAAAAACCCCACCAACTCTCTAGCCCTCAGAGAACAGGGTAGATGTGAAAGGTGAGCTCTCTTTTCCAAGGCCAGTCAGCCCACGTGAGGAGGTGGCAGAGAGGAGACTTCTGCACCGGTTGCCACACTGCTGGGCACTGGAGGGGGGAACAAGCCAGGACTGATTCTTCTGCTGAAGCCTGGATTCCAGTAGGATCTCTCCCTCCAGCTCACCTCAGGCTCTGGGCTTTTCAAACTGCAGCAGCTATGGAGAGGGCACTGAAAAAGCCAGATGCAAGGTTCTTTTAAGTAGAGTTGAACACAAAACAGTTTTCCTAAAAAGCGTCAATTTCCTTGTCTCCAAGGGGTGGCATTTTCCCCAGAGAGCTTACATGGAAGAAAAAACAACCCATATTCAGAGTGCTTACCGTCCTCATTCTTCTGATACCATTTCAAATCAGACCGTGATGATCTGGCATCCTGGTTAGTTAACCTATGCTTGAAGGCTTCATGTACTCCTGAATCCTCACTGTGTTCATCTTACAGTATACATCCTATGTTTCTGGGGACAGGATGCTTTACAAAT